TGCGGAGACATTGCACCCAGCTGACCACATTACAACAGGGCTTCCCTGTATATTGAATGAAATGTACAGTTTCCAAATGTCTCTATGCTGGCTGTGATGAACCATAGTACTTTATAGTTGTATACATCATAGGATAATGAAGAGGTGACATTGCAATTTTTGTTTTTATTCTGATAACAAAAAATGTGTAGGCAGCCAACCCAAGTCCAACTCATTTCATTCAAATCACAGTAAATATTTGTCAATTGCCACTCAATGTGGAATCAATTTGGTGTTACATTATTCACAAACAATTCAATGCTGGAATATTTTCTTAAAATTTTTAAAGACATTCTTATTCTGTTTTCCTATTAATCCTTTAAAGTATAAAACAATTTGTCTATGTGAGATTAGACTTTGCTCGGATACAGTGACTTTCTGTAATTCAGCATTCAGGTGACTTTCCATCTCTTGGTTAGCAATAAAATGAGGACAATTGATCAAAACAAACCAGAAACCCCTGAACACGAGAAGGTCACAGCCTGTGAGCTGATAGCAAAAACAGCTCGGATGCTCCAGAGCTGCCATTTTTCTTCCTTGACAAAGACTCCATCTGCCACAGAGCCATTTGCTGCCTGAGAATCAGAATATCAATGATTTCCAACCATTCTGCAAGTCTGTTTTCACCTTGACATCACCTCTGTGTGCAGCTGAAGGTAGAAATATTTTCTCCACAGTACAACAGGCTTCTAAAACAGTTTGATCTAAGTAACATCTAAGCAATCTTCTGAAGTACTGTTTTTATCTCTACCTCGGCATTTTAGTAAGGTTTTCACTGCGTAAGAATAGTCTAATACTTCAAATTCTGAAGCTACAATACATGATACTCACCACATTTACCTTCTCATACTTTTCTCCCAGACGTGCTTCATTTTTATAACAAATAAATAGGAACAAAGGAAAGTAAAATAAGCAGACAGAAGCATTTAAGTTTTTAGTTTCTATTAGTACAGTGCTGGATGAAATGTATTTGTGTAATATCACCTTAATAAGGCTGCAATGTTAGTGCTTTTGCATTAAGGTGTGTGAGGTGAGAATTTTAACTGAACTGGTCTAGGAAGATGAGCATTTCATTGGTAGATGTTTTAATAAAGCAGCTACTTTTAATACACCAATAGGAAAAATTGAAAGCTTACATTAGAAAATACTAGTCACTACTGCAACTGTAGTTTTGTAAACTTTTTCTAATGTAATAAAAGCCCTTTCCATTTGAGGTACAACTTGCAGACTTCTAGCAAACTCAACCCTTGTCAGCCTTCTATAGTATTTACAAACATTAACAATGGTGGTAATAGAGCTGTTCTAACTGAACACAGATGGACACCACACTGCGTGAAAATCAGGGGCTCAGCAGAATTAACATATTTCAGATATCTGTACAAACCTATTACCATCGATTCAGAAATGAGCTTAAACAATACCTTTTACTGGGTTTCTCATAAAGTAATACAATTAACAAACTATAACCATTGACATTTTTGTAAAGCAATTGTTTTCCACACTGATCCAGGTGGATTATTACTATCTCATGCAAAAATGTGCTTCTTGCACAAGACAAAGAAAGAGCATACGTCCAAAACGACCTCTCTCTTCCCCCATTCTAGATTTTCTGATTTCAGTCATGTTACTATTAGTTTCTTTCTCATCCACCACCCCCAGCGTTGCCTCTCTAAAGAGACCATAAAATACTTCTGTATTAAGTGTAGAGAACAATTACCTGACAAATATACTTCAGTTAATTCTGTACTGCCAACATTTATTCAAATCAAATATTTGCACTCATGTTTATTTAATTGTTTGAATTACAAAACTGGAAAATTAAACTACAAGCAAAAACAGGCTATTCAGCTTTCATGTCTCCCATTTACTACAGCAGTTCTCAATGTTGCCTGCTTAAACCTGCAATACTTAATGGAGCGAAGGGCTTAGCTGTAGTTTCATTTTTAGTGTTGATTACTTTGTACAAGCTTTACACACAGAGCTTGAAAGACGACATTTTAATAACTACAGTAATTAAAAATGTTACAGCACAGCGGTTCTGGTAGACTTTGATACGAAGATTACAGATAGTTTTATTATTAAAACAATGCATTCAAAAACAAGTTGTGAACAAAATGGCAGTCTGATTTGGCATTATGTCATCCATTACAAATTTGGCAATAGCTTCAGCGAACAATGGAAAATCCTAACAGTCTGATTTTTCTGAAGGCGGTTTAGCGAGAACTTGAGTTTTGCAACTCAAAGCCTGCTTTCTGAGAACATGGTAATTTACTGCACCACAAGCTTTCACAAACATACGTGCTCCAAACAGTCACAGCCAGCTCAAATCAGCAAAATCAAAACAGACACTGCCTCACACTCAAAGAATTTCACTATTTTCTCCAATTTCCTTTTTGGCAGGAGCTCTGTCAGCAGTACCTTCCATTTTATATTTAGCTTCGCTGTATGTACTCCAGCAAACCTCCCTCAGTATAAATAGCCAACATCAATTGTAATCCACATCATTAAAATCCAAACGCAACAAGTTTTACATTTTCAACATTTCCAACACTAGATAAGGGTTTGTTTTGAATTTCAGGATTAAAATTAAATATTAGTGTTCCAACATTTTTAAAAGATTAGACTTTTACAAACAAATTACATTTACATCAGAAGGACATCCCAAGGTAATGGACAGTTAAGGGTGGAATCAAGAGGTGGGGGGCGGGGGCGGTGTATATATATACACACACGCACACATACACACATAGAACCCATCAGTAATATAATGGGTCTAATGGCCTCCTCCTCTGTCGTAGATGTCCATGGTTCTACTTTTATTATACGTACATTCAGGACAATATACAAAATCTACAGCATTCGGGACAATAAATAGAAGTTGCATCTTTATGCAATTAAATACTGTATTGTAAACCACGTTACTATGATATCAAAGGAAGGGGGGACCAAATGCATGCTCCAATACCATAGTTCAGTAAGTAATGGAGTCCTGTAGCTCAGTGGTTAGAGCACTCGCTTTGCAAGTGAGAGATCTGAATTCAATTCCAGGCAGGGCGAAACCTTGGGCAAGTTTCCTTACTCCACACGCCTAATAATAATCCCTCCAAAAAACCCAAAACAATAATTAAATTGGTCATTTTCAATCTACGACTGTTTGTGGGACATTGCTGTGCGCAATTGGCTGCCGTGTTCGCCCACAAATATACAGTCAATTCACTTTACAGTGTGTTCTGTGAAGCGCTTTGGGACGTCCTCCTGACGTGAAAAGCGCTATATCAAATGCAAGGATTATTATTATTATTATTATAATGGTTAGTTAGCTGTGTATTTTTAGTTTCATACTGTTCCAATTGCACTAATCAAATACATTTCCTGCACAAATGTATTTAAACCACATACAATGCATAAGACTGCATATAAATGTGGTGCACTCACACATGCTCAGTCACACACACTTTCTTGTATTTAAAATTAAAATTATCTTCTTCTCGAAAGGACTTAGTTGTCATAATGGTTAACCAGACAACTCTAAACATTGTGTTATAACATCCATCCTCTTCTTCAATCCCCTACCTACCCGCCCGTACCCTCCATTCCTCTGGCTCCGGTCTGCTCCACATCCCCCGCCCCAACCGCCCTACCATTGGTGGCCGGGCCTTCAGCCTCTCAGCCCCGAGGCTCTGGAACTCTATCCCCCAGTGCCTTCGCCGCTTCCTCCCTTTCCTTCTTCAAGGCCGGTCTCAAGACCTTTCTCTTTGACCGTGCCTTCAGCTCCCCTCTCGACTCTCTACCCCCTCCTTGCTCCCTCCCTTCCCTCCCCTCACCCTGACCATTTCCCCCAATGCTCGGGTCCTGACCCAACTGTACAGCGCCTTGGGACGTCCTCCCGACGTGAAAGGCGCTCAATAAATGGAATCTTGTTGTTGTTGTAGAAGAGTGCGTACCAAATTTGAAAAAAAATTACCCAATAACTTTCTCCAATAGCAGAAATGTTGTTCTAATGCAAAGATGCTCACAAATAAATCAAGCAAAAAACCACACTTGTGGAAAAATGTAATGCATCCACAACCTAAGTAAGCCAATTAAATTGCCTAGAAACTATAGGTCTGCCATTTATAATGTTAAAACATTTGAGGAAATGCTGAAAAATAAAAAGGAATTAGTCTACGGGATGATAAGAGAGAGTCTGCATGACTTTATGAGAGCAGACATGCATCACTAATCTATTGAGATTTCTATGAAATAATAATAGAATTGTAGGCTAAGAGGAACTCGGTGGATATTATTATATATTTCGATTTCAGCAAGCCTTTACAAAGACAGGCACAGAATAGGAAAGGAACTTCTAATTTGGCTGCATTAAAAAAAACACTTTGGAGAAAACAAAAGTCAGTGGCTTGTGGAGTACAACTGTAAGGGAATATTGCCAATGTACAGAAATGATTTCGAAAAGGGACAATAACAACAACAACAACAACAAGATTCCAATTATTGAGCGCCTTTCACGTCGGGAGGACATCCCAAGGCGCTTTTAATAAATAAATTGATGGGGGGGTGGGGGGGTAAGGAATCTCATTTTTCTGTGGAAAAGCAAGTTATGTGTGACATCATCTGATCATATTTATAAAATTACTGCTTTTGATCCACAAGTTACAATCACATTGAGAGACAACAAACTAGGAACCCTGACAGATTAGAATACAGTCAATTTGTGGGACTCAAACAGATTGGGACCTATGACCAGTGAATTCTCACACACACCAAGAGTTAGTCTCACGGGCACCTGCAAATTAACCTTATATTAATTGCAGCAAAATATTCGGTCTTAGAATGAGACAAAATAACATTTTAAAAATGACTCCAAACCCCAAAATTTTGAATGGTTTTCATTAAGCCAACGGAATATTAAAGATCATTTAGTTTGGGAGCTGGTAGGATTGCAGTTCAAAATAAAAACTTACCCCTGTTCACGAGGTTCAAGTCTCACTCAGTGCTGTCTAACATTCATCACACCCACCACACTTGAAAGAATGATGTCAGCTCTCATTCGCACCACAAGACGATCGATCACCTCATAAGAGGCAGTTTCATCTAAAATAAAAATAAAAACATTGCTAACTGATTTTTTTTTACAAAGCCAATAAGTATACACACAGGCATTATGAAACTGTCCCAGTAGCGCAGTTTGTTTGGTTGCGTAGATTTAACAAATATGCCTCCTGTGAAATAATCTCGTCGTAGGATAAAGAGCAACATTAATCTTCACAAGCTGATTGACCTCTTTCCTGTGTGTATTTCACATAGACACGTAGTGAGATAGTTCGAAAAATGAAAATTTGAACTTAGTTACCAACATGCTTGCAATTATCTTTGAATGTGTGTCAATTCAAATTTCTAATAATAAAAGCAACGGACGAAGCCTCAATACCATAACACACACTTCTGAAGGCGATATGTAAAAGATCAAGTCAAACATGTTTTGGCTGTGCTTGCAAAAGGGTAAATACTGAGCTGTGATTGCCTATTGTTTTGCATTGTAGAAAGTCAATCTCAATCGGTTTCATCCTCTGATACTTCATCAGCAGCCATATCAATGGGACTGAGCACCTAATGCTTTCTTGTCAGGACAGACCACTCTCCCAAAGCAGCAAGTTATCATCCTTACATTTGCTTTAGCGTCTTTCACAAAGGGAGGAAATCTCAAAGCACTTCACAAGATGTACTGTGGAGTAACTGTGTTTTGTGGGCAAACCTGGCAGCCAGTTGGCGCATAGTAACACCCTACAAACAGCTATGAAATAAAAGCACAATTATATTGGGGATTGTTAGCAGAACATCAGGAGAAACTCCCTTTTCTTTCTAAACAGCGCAATGTGATCTTTAACGTCCATGAATAGGCAGATGGGACCTCGGTTAAAGTGTAATCTGAAGAATGGCACTCCCAACAATTCAGCCCACCCCAACACTGCACTGAAATCACAGCTTAGACTGTATGAATTCCATGTCCCAATGTGGGGCTTGAACCCGCAACCTTCTGACTCAAGAGGCAAGAGTGCTACCAACTGAGCCAGGTTTATTATCACTCCATCACTGAACTGTGTACCTAAAATTATAAGCTTTAAAATCTTAAATCACATTTTGGCAAATAAAGCGCAACTTACATAAAACAAAACCTGGATTATCACAAAGTAATGTTATCAATTGTCTTCTATTATTATTTGGTGAAAAAAGTTCAACATTCAAAATATATTCCCTTGTATTACATTTGATGAGCACAATAGCTGTACAAAAGATTTTTTAAAACCATTTTTGATCTTTAATTTACAACCAATTCTTGTGACTGATTCATTATATCTTTCATGATTTGTTGAACTTTTGCAGTTGTTATTGTTGTAGTGACATATTCAGGCATTAGGGGTTTGCACATTTACAAGTGAAGAATTGAACAGGGCACACAAAGTATGAGCTACAATTACACCACAACTGAAAGGAAAGAATATCCTTGTTGTATTGACCTAGAATCCTAAGCATCATGGGGCAACAACATAAACACCATGAGAATACTCCCCGAGGAGCCAAAGACATCACAGTCAGCTCAGTGGTTAGAGTACTCGCTTTGCAAGTGAGAGACCTGAGTTCAATCCCCGGCAGGGCAGGGCGAAACCTTGGGCAAGTTTCCTTACTCCACACAGAGCCTAATAATAATCCCTCCAAAACCAAAAACAATAATAAATTGGTCATTTTCAATCTACGACTGTTTGTGGGACATTGCTGTGCGCAATTGGCTGCCGCCTTCGCCCACAAATATACAGTCAATTCACTTTACAGTGTGTTCTGTGAAGCGCTTTGGGACGTCCTCCCGACGTGAAAAGCGCTATATCAAATTCAAGGATTATTATTATTATTATTATTTATTAACAGCAATCCGGGAAGGTAGATCTAATGGTGATGAGGTATCTCGGCCTAGAGAGTTATAGCAGAAAAGACACCACTCCAAGGAGATGCCCTGAAACACTCTGTCATATGTACAGCAAAATGGAAAATGTACAAATTAGAAATGCTTCTGCAATCTATACTTTGATCTCTCTCAGTTTATGGACCAATTCACCTTTAACAGCCTCCTAGAACTTTTTCCCATATTTATAACCTGAGAACCACCTATAAGCACTAGCAGCATCAACTGTAGCCAGGTCTTGATAGAAATATTACCAAAAAGATAAAGCAACAGTGAATGGAATAGGTTTTTAATTTTAAAAAAATAGAAATTGCAAACATCAGTGGGTTATAATAGTCTTTACAGTAGAATAAGGCCCAACGCCAAGTCACCAACGGTATAGGAAAGAGCAAGCAAAAACTTAAAAGCTTATGGTGTACTGAAAAATAGCAAATACTAAACCACCCCTCTTCTCACCCTCCCCAGTACACAGAAAGTAATGTTACCAGCTGGATTTCTCCACTACTGTTGCATGTTTTAGACCCTTACTTTCATATTCACCAAAGAACAGGTTCAAAGTTCTGAGGGGCAGGTTTATAAGACATCAGGAAGTGCACTTGCTTCTTTACATGGAAGGCAATCAGCAGCTGGAACAGGCTCCCAGAAAAGGTGGTTAATGTGGTTGAAGCCAGGACACTGGACTCATTTACAAACAGTTTGATGCTGCAATGAGAGGATGATCGGATTGGCATTCCAGAACGATAATTTCAAATTCACCACATAACTTCTTTTGAACCGTTCATGACTTGGAGAAACCGCTTAGTGTTAACTATTAAAACATATTTTCTTTAGGGTTTATTCAAACAGATTAAGATAGGAATCTTTCAATAATGGATAAGGCTCTGTTCCCAATTTTAACTGATTTCCTTCTTTTCCCAACCCCCACCCGCCAAGAAAATCCCTCAAACTGTCCAAAAGCCAGTTTTCTACAGATTGTCAGGGTTTGCCAACATGGATAGCTTTTTTTAAAAACCTCATGAAACTAAGTTCATTGTATATCTGTCATCTGCACAAGTGGTCTAAAATCGTATTCTCTCAATTCTGCCATTAAAAGGTACCCAACACCAATCATTTCTCTCTCTGCTACCTGTATGATATTTAACAGGACTAGGACAGGGTGAGGACTCCAAGACCACATGGTTTAATAATCCTCACTCACCACTGGAAAACATTAAAACAAACACTTGGGCTTAAATAGTATTGGAGGTTCCTTAGGATTGACTGTGGTTGTGCTTCAGTACGATTGTTGGAGTAGAGCAGAAGAAACGTCATTCTGAGGATAAATTTTACCTTGAACTTGGAGACAGAATTGGAAACCTGCCTCAGCACAGACATCACTAATTTTGATTATCAAGATATTACTTCTTTAAAAAAGATTTAGAAAACCTTCAAGGCATTCTGCAAATCTATAGAGGAATCAAATTAATGTTACAATGCAAACAATCCCTTTCCTCCTTTAACAATGCTTTGCGAGCTAACTTCATTTTAAAAATAAATTATGTAACAAAGCAATGTGCATTTAGAATATTTAGATAATGTTTTCCTCACTTAAATCTGAAAATAGATTTTGAATGTGAAGATTTAATTGTTCATAGCACTAAAACATTTTATAACTTGGTGCAGATTAAAGTGATGTCAACTTGAATTTCATCAATGTATTGCTTTGTAATAGACATTGTTTATTTTTTGAACCAGTTAAAATGTATCTCTCAGCATTACAGATACCACCTCCTTTTGCATTGTTTAACTGACCTTTTTCAGAAAGAGACAACAAAAGGTTGAGGTGGCGTATACACATTATACGCACACGTCTTAACATACACATTTTCCTCCCTGTCAACAGCATAATAAAACTGTTCTCTTCTGGTTATTTTAAAAATTAGTTTGAAGAATTCCTTTTAAAAGTATATGCTCATGATCTAATAACAGACGTTGAATATTCAGCGTACTGCTGCATTCACAGATTTCCTATTTGAAAAATTCCCATTTAAGTGGCCTGAAAAGGGCATTTTAACATAACAATCAAAATGGATCGATGAAGAATCCAAAGGACTCTTGCAAAGGAGGACAGAGTTTTTCCAGCATCCTGGCCAATTTTTCGCCCCAAGATTCCTTCATGTATCTAATTTACGCAGCAATTTCTAATGCAATTCTTTACTTAAAGAATCTGAGTCTGGACACTTTCTGATAGCCAAAAGTTTTGTACTGACTCCTCACGGAAGGCAAGTATCATCACGGCAGAGTTCACATACTGCTGATTTTCTCAAGACTGGAATCCCATTAGGAACGGTTGCATATTTGATGCCATTGATCCTGTCTACCTGGACCAAAGTTTCCCCCCAGAGCTGAAGGGGATTCCATGGAGATCATCATTCAGCCTCACCATCACTAATGCCAAGCAAGTGAATCTTTGCCAAGATTCAGGCATAACATGGCTCTGCAACAGGCTGAAGGGAAATCCAAAGTTAGACAGCATTTTACTAAAGGAGAAATTGATTTAACTTTAAAAAGAAAACAAGAATCAGTCAAATACTTTACATTTAAAGTCCTCTACTACAGGAGAATACCCCCTCCCCCCTTTCGAAGTGAAAGGTGAAGTTCACTGTATTCTGATGAAATGCGTACGTTCCAAAAAACAGAACAAGCTCTTCTTGGCACATGGCTGGCAATTCCAGTTTCCACAGGACAAAGATGGTTAACACAAGTTCATCAAACCAGTTTATTTCTTCACTACCACAAAATTATAGCGGAAGGAATTGAAAAACAAAGTATGAAAAGTACGAGTGTCAACCAGTTTATCTTCTCAATTCCAGTTTAATCTGCCTGCTGACTGAAATGATGGCATTCTCTATCAGACTTCAGCTGCTAACCAGAATTAAAATACACCAGGCATTTTGGATATGAATATTAGGTCAGGAATTACAGTGTACAATAAAAACTAGTTGTGTAACTAGTACACTTAGCCTGTTATCAGTGAATAGAACTGGAACAGATAGGATCAATTTATTTATTTTAAAAAAAGAGGGAGGGTCACGAGCAGTGTGCATGTTTTATCATACTGCCAGAATTTAACTCCTTTGCTGCAATTCAGATAAGC